CCCGATTCATAACCACTACACTGCCATAAGGATCTCTTTAAAGTGTTACAAAGCAAAAATGTTGCTTTTGAGGAGTAAGAAGTGCCTGACTCAAGCCAGGGTCTTTTCAATCTCCTTCAAATGCTGGATAATATATTTGTTGTTGTTGTTGTTAAGTGCCGTTGAGTCAGTTCCAACTCATAGCAACCCTGTATAGGGTTTTCAAGGAGTGGCTGGTGAGTTTGAACTACCAACCTTGAGGTTGAGTGCTTATTCTATGGCGCCACACCAGGACACAGGGATTCATAACATATGTATTTGAATGATGGTGTTGGCAAAGGAAATTGAACAGACCATGGAGTGCCAGAAGAAGAAGCAAATACATCTTGGAAGAAGTACAGCCAGAATACTCCTTAAAAGTGAGGATGGTGAGACTGTCTCCCCAGTATTGTGGGCATGTGGTCAGAAGGGACCAGTTCCTGGAGAAGGACATCATGCTTGCTGAAGAAGAAGGTCAGCACAAAAACCCTTAAGGAAAAGATCCTTAAAATGATGGATTGATACCATGGCTGCAAGAATGGGTTCAAACGTAAGGACCCTACACGACAGAGCAGAACTGCTGCCAAGATTCCCAAGGGCTGTAATCATTAGGAAAACAGATCTCCAGGACTTTCTTCTGTGTACCCACTGGTTGATTTTGAACCCTATTCCCCCAAAAATAAAATATGATAGATAATTGGATAGAAAAAAAAAAATTGGAAACTGGCCCAAAATTCACTTTATGGTTTTCCGTCCTCTCCACAGGAGCCCTGGTGGTGCAGTGGGTTAAATACTGGGGCGTAGAAAGATGAGATCGCCTGATTCCATACGATTCACAGACTTGGAAATGGTAAGGAGTCGCTCAGCTCTTGTTACAAGTCATTAAGGACTGGTGAACAGCGGTGGGTTCGGGTCCTACAATAGGTGCATCATAACAGTCCCACCAGAGTCCACTCAGGGGAAGGGGCAGAGTCCAGGACAGCCCCCACAGGAACATCCAGCCCACTAATTGTCCAAAAAGGAAAACAGGTCATCAATGAAAAAATAGACACAGATTTAAGGACTCTAATCCTGGGCACACACAGACTACAAAACACTGTGAAAAATTACAGAAACAAAAGAAGACAAAATAGATGATTGGGACGTTCTAAAA